TTCCTGCATCGCCCTGGTCACAATACGAGAGATCCAGCCTCCTGCCCCCATCTCTCCCCCTTTTCATCTGGAGATGCGAAACCTGGTGGTGTCTCCACAGCCTGCTGGGCAATCTGCCAGTACCGGTTTGCAAAGCAGCTTTGGGGCTAGATCCGGAGAGGGACGAGGATGGTGACAGAACTAGGTCCTCGTTTTCCTTTTTAAATGACGCATAGACAGTTTTGTAAACTTGGCTACCAAATTCCTGTTCTGTATTCTGCTCACAGAAGAGAGCACATTTAGCCAGAACCAAGACTGTTCAAATAAAAATTCCTTTCAAGCATTTCCTTCCACCCTAAGGCCACGTCCCGCCTTCCCCTCCCCGCCCTCCCAGTGGACAGGGAGCATTCGAGGCGGAGCCAGCGGGTGAATCCCTGTGTCCCCGTGTCCTTCCGATGGGCTGGACCGTCCGCAGCAGGCCCGGGCCAGCCTTCAGGAGCTGTTTCCGCCTGCCAGGCGGGACATGTGCTCCCCGACCCTGGAAGTCAAGTCCTGACCCGGGGTGACCGCACCTTCTTCTTTCTGTTTTCCACCCCAGGACCTGTGGGGACCAAGTGTGACAGTGGGAGGTATCCCGGAGAGCCACCAGGCCTGAGTGAGCCGCGGCCCCATGCCACATGCTGCAACCCAGAGAGGCGCCTCTGCGGAAGGAGACGGCTGCAGGTGAGCAGCCCCCGCGGGCGGCGGGGCGAGGCCCCAGGAAAGGATTCTTGGCAGTTGGGTTTATTTGGCAAGACCTGGACCTGACCTGAGCTGGCACTAAAGCACCTCCCAGTGAATTATTGTTCGCCAGGCGCCTTGAATGTTAGGGCGACAGGGCAGAGGACATCAAAGGCTGATGATTCGCCCCCAGGTGTGGCCCTCCTTCTGCAGGAACAGGTGAACTCCCAACGCCTGCTTCTTCCCTCTGGTGAGTTTCCTCTGTCTCAAGCCAACTAAAGGTTTACAGAGTCTCTTTGCTTTGCGTCCGTTTACCTTACCAGAGCCTTCTGGGTTCGAGGTGTGGGCGAGCCCGTGTGTCTAGAAGACAGGGCCAGGGGGTTCGTCCATCACATTCGCATTTCATGCTGCAGACGTTGGACCCAGATTTTTGTATTGTTTATTTTTTCCTTTTGGGTATGTGCACTTACCAGAGAGGCGGAAGGTAGGAAATCACCTCCCTAGGGAGGATGACCACACTGCAGTGTCTTCTCCTCCATTCTCCTCTTAGGATTCTGGGTACACATGCACATGGGCCTGGCATGAGTTTCAAGCCTCCGGGTCTCGGACTCAAACCGTGGGAGCCCAGTGTCTTAACCACTGTGCCACCTGGTTCAGATAATTTTGAAGCATCTTCTGGATGAATTGAACCCAGACCATGGTGTTTGAGGTGGGGCATTTTCATGATCAAGTCAGTGGTTGGAGCCCTGTGCAGAACGCCGCCTTGTGATAGGATAGGACTGGCCCGTGCCCCGTGGTGAGTCTAAATGAGGTTCAGGCCCCCAACCCTTGCCTTCCCTTCCATTTTCTAAATGCTCGAGTAACTGCTTTTCTCAGCTAATTGTGAGCCACTCCTCCTGTGGTGGGGGAGAGACAGAATGACAGGCCACCCCAACAGGGTCTCCATGCCGTATGCCCCTCACCCCTCACTCCCACCTCAGCTGGGCAGGCTTGCATGAGGCGTGTACAGGGATCCTCCGGACGCCAGTCAGGGGTGCTTTACCTGCTCTGACTCACTGCGTTTTTCATTGCATTGTTTAAAATCATGCCCAGTGCTATTGCTAAGAGGAGAGAGGGTGTTGAATGACAGTAAGATGCCATTCTGAAAAAACCATGTAGAATTTCAACAAAAGGAGCTCATTCCTGAGACAGTGCTCAGCAGGGCGTCTGGGCCTCTGCCTTGTTAACTTCAGGATGGGCAGTTCCCTACATGGGGCTGCTGTGTGTGGAGGGTCCGGGCTCTGTCAAGGATGCTAGGATGCGGGCAGCCTGCCCTCCAGGGGGCGACCGAAGGTACTTGGGGGCTGAACTGCGCCCTGTTGAGGACCTGTGCGCTAGGAGTGTGTGGCCTAAGGAAAAGAGGCGAAAGGAGACAGTGAGGTGTCTTTGATGATTGTTCGTGTAGCTCCAGAGATGCGGGTCTCTCAGTAGAGTTCCCGTCCTGTCCCCAAGGACATCCGCTAAGGACTGGCATCCACAGCCACAGAGGACATGCCGCAGGGGGCAAGGCCGGTGCCCTGGATAGCGGCGGAAGACCTCCCGGTGCTTACACGACATGCAGTGCTTTCTCTTCGGGGGCACTGGTCACCGGGAGCTGTCAGGTGCTGGTTTACTGCAGGGAAAGGAAGGAGTATTTGGAGACCAAGATTCAAGTGACGCTCATAACTGGGTGCTCCAATGGAGTGCAGATACACCTGCTCTCCACGTAGTTCAGCGATTCTGTGAACAGAGGTCAGGGCAGGAGCGATGCCCTGTGTATTAGATTCCCTGTCTCTCGCAGGACTGAGCGTGGGCTGGAATTCTGCCTTCTTCCTGCAAGGTCCACAGTTCATTCTTTCTCTTCTCACTGTCTTCCATATTTACCTGTCCCTCCCTTGTAGGCCGAGCCGCCAGGTGAGAAGAATCGTGTCACAACCGTGACTTACCGTGACACGTCGTGTCTTTATTTCCGATTTCCCCTTCCCGTACACGCTCGCCAGGCACGTTCTTGCTCTTCTCTCGTCTCTCCCTAATTCTCCCTTCCTTTCGCCCTCGCTTCTTGCCTTTTCTCTGGCTACAGAAACTGGCAGTTGGCCTCGCTGGCATGATTTTCACTTTCTTGAACCGGGGTGCCCGGGGATTTCCATTGATTATGCACCGGGCAGTCTCTTCTTTAATTCTCTCCAAGGGATCGCAGTTGGTACTGCCGTGAGCGGAGGTGAGCCGCAGCTCAGCACTGTGCTGACACGGCCAGCTCCGTGGAACAGATCACGCCGAGCCCTGAACAGCTGGGCTGGCGCCGCGAGCCTTGGCTTCTCTCGGAAGAGTTCTAGAACTGCCAAGTCATCAAACTCGAAGGGGAAGGAGCGACAAGAAAGGTTACAGGGATATTAGTTCGTGCAGGTGCACTCAGGTTTTGAGATCTGCTTTTCTGAAATACTCTGTAGCTTGTAGGTCTGAACCCCAGAGCTGCTGTCAGTGCTGGGGGTGGGCCCTGGAGGTCGCAGCCGTATTTTCCTCATTGTTTGTAGGCACCAGACATGAGATGAGATAAATGCTCTCTTCACTAAGACTTGGGGCTCTCCTTAGTCCACCCAAACTATTAATATGTGTAATTGTAAAGAGAGTTTTGATTTGCAGAGCACATGTAATGCTAACATAAATTTAATCATGGCTCAGTTGCAACTTCTGGGCCACAGTGTCGCTTCTTAGTAGGAAACCAGTGGGAAGCGGGTGGGGGAAGGCAGATGTCATAAGCTAGTGGCCAGTCCTTCTGTCCTGCTGTGTTTGCCATTTGAGGAGGGTGTGTGTGTGTGTGTGTGCATGAGTGTATATATGAACTTGCATGCATGTGGGTTTAAATACCTCTGCCAATATTAAAGTATTTTTCTAGAAAAATTAGATTGAGTTGTGTAAAGATTCCAGAGGATCTGGCTTCATTGGAACTCAGGCTCCCAGGGTCCTATCAGTCAAGGCTGAGTGATGGCTGCCCACACGGAGCCTGGTGGGTGGGGAGGGGCTCGGCGGTTCACCGGAAGTCACCCACACCCTCACAGCCCCTCACCACGTTCCCTTCTGCAGGAGGAGGCCAGGAGAGAACAGGTGAGGCTTTGGGATTGGGAAGAGCCAGGTTTCAGTCTCGGCCTCATTGCCAGCTTCATCAGGTTGGGCAAGTTACGTAACTTTCCGAGTCTCAGTGTCCTCATGCGTAAAACGGGGACGTGCTTGTTCCCCTTACGTGGTTGCCAGGACGAATGTGCAGGGACACAGCCTGTCCTAACGCAGAGCCTTGGAAGGCACCGCGGGGTCTCCACGCGCCTCCACTGTTACTACAGTGTGTGGTGGCTGTGCGTCAAGGGTGAGGTGGCGTTCGATGAACTCTCCTGCTTGGGACAGTGTAGGAGATTTCTGCCTGGATCTCTCCTGTTTCTCATCTTACGATATAAAATATATATTGTGTCTCCAAGGGGATAGTGAAATAATCCAGTAGAAACTAATAGATGAAGGATTCACAATTTAATGGGAGAAAAATCTTATTTTGTTTCACATCAAGTAGACATGGCATTTTCTTTGTGCTGGGTCGGGGCTCCATAGTTACAGACGTGAACTTCTGAAGTGCTTGTCCCTCCACCCTTTCCCCTGCCCGTCTCAGTCCCAGGCAACCTCAAGATAACCTGATAGACCAAAGATGTTCGGAACCTTTGTGGGAGAGGGGGACAGAAACCAGAGCATTACATAAACGAGCATGCCTTCTTAAAGGTGTGAGCTGAATTTAGTTTTTGCTAATCTGCAGTGCTGCCTTGAAGGTTTGTTGGTACTTGGTTCACATACATTCTTTCATGTTGCAAGGGGTTTTTTCCTACCTTCTTCCAGTCGGTTGGCATCATTTTTCTCTCTGATGTCTGGCCTTTGGCCTCCATCAGAAGATTCCAGTACACATGTGGATGTCGACCAAGTGTGGGAGGACTTCCTGCTCAGTATATATATGGTAAGAAATACAGGTTCTGAGACCAGCGGATGGCATGATGGCTACGTCACTGGACTCCCACGTCGTTGACCGTGTTTCAACCCGTGTGTGACTGACTGCAACCTCTCCCTAGTTAGGGGAGAGTGACCCTCATGGGCAGCTGTGAGACTGGCTCACGTAAGTCCTCTCTCTCTTTTTCTGGGTCAGAATGTTTTCTGAGTATTGTTTGGGCAAGGCACAAACTTGCTGAGTCAAGGTCAATGAAAAGCCCCTAAGTAGGTGGTGGTGATAGTGGTGACAGACAGACAGAGAGGGAGACAGAGAGAGAGAGAGAGAGAGAGAGAGAGAGAATGAGAGGGGTGTGCAGGTGTGGTCCCAGAGAGGGAGGCAGATGCTTCCTTCCCTCCCTCACTTCCTGGTTTTCAAAGCCTGGTTTCTTGTTGTATGTTGAGGACTGGTGCCTTCTGGGGGGCAGCGAGGGTACGGAGGGGCTGCAGGCTCTGTTCTCACCCAACTCGCCAGCTCTGTCACCCAGCAGGAGTGAGAAGCACCACAAAGTGCCCCAGCAGAGCCCACTTCCCTCCACCCCAGCTCGCTCGAGTGGTTACACCGACGTCAATCAAGGGGAACCCGCAGCCTGAGCATGCACCGTTGAAGCAGGTGCGTGCTGTGGCAGGCACACGAGGAGGTGCGCCCTGGCGCCACGGCAGTTGGGAGGGGTGCGGGGGGTGGGCCGTGTGCGCCCCGCCTCACCGAGCCCCTCGCAGCCCGCTGTGCCTGTGCAGGCATGGACCTGAGGCAGCTCGGTGGGGGAGCAGGGCAGGTGCAGCTGAGGGGGTCTGGCTGCTCTGTGCTCGCTCACTGGCTGCACGGGTGCAGGGCAGTGAAAGGGAAGTAAGTGCTTGTCTTCTCTTCCTTGGTCTACCCCTCATCACAGCAGCAGAGGAAACCCTGGCCTGAACCGACTTGCTAAGATTACATGTTAGATTACATGCACATGTTACATTGATGTAGAGCA